TGCATTCCCTCAGCCTCGGGGGAGTGAGGGGATTGCGGACAGAACTGTCACCCTGCAAGGTGCAGGGCAGCTGGATGTCAAGGAGTCAGATTGGTCAGAACCCAGGCTTCCCGACATGCTCAGGCTGGCGCTCAGTGGGGGACACTCAATGGGATGCAGATAGAATAGAGTCCAGGGCTAGTTGTGAATATAAGTGCAAGGCCACAGCAGGCCAGGGGCCATGCACAGAGCCCGCCGCCAGAGGCCTGCAGGGTGGAAACAAAAGGCCTGGCTTCGAGTTCTGGCTCTGCCACTCTCTGCTCATGTGCCGTGGTGTGTGGTGTCACACAGTGTGCCTCATTCTGATCAGCTGTCAGGGGAGGCAGGGGCAGGGAGGTCAGTGTGAACAGGATGGCACTTAGAGAGCTTGCTCCTCATTCCAAGGTGAGAATGGCTGGGAGTGCTGGGCCTGGTTCTATGGAAAACTGCTGAGCAGAACCCAAGACCCCGGGGAGTGTTCTTGGGGTCCTGGGAATTGGGGGAGGAAGGGAGTTTGGTAAAGAATAGAAGATTCTAAGGAAGCTAAATAGAGATGGTCCAGATTGCCTGCTCTCTGCCCAAAGTGTTTATTCTGGCGAGTATTAAGATCAAACTGGCCTTTGATATGCTTTAAAAGCAGAAAGGGGAAGAAAATCAATCGGTTATTTTTTCCTTCCCTGCAGAGGCTGAGGCTGAGTGTACTGATCATTTTTCTTTAGCAAATTAGGAGCTATGCAACCTCAATGACTGACTCCTTTTGAATTCTTTCATTTTATAATAATGAATTCATGACTCATTATTATTCTTAAAAAAAAAAAAAAAGAAGTTCCAGGAAGAACAAACAAATCAGCCTGATTTCCTCATCCCCTTCTCTCTCTCTCCTGTCTCTCTCTCTTTCTCTCTCACTTGATTGTCACAGTCACATGTCCTCATGATGTTTGAATTAGTTCAATAATTTTAAGAACTTCTGAGTCAATCCACTGATAAATATTTCTATGCACCTACTCTGTGCAAAGCACCTAAAGAGAGTCAAATTCTCTTGGGAATTATGCAGCGATAGGCACACAGTGTGAAGGCCGGTTGGTAATGTCCACGTTCAGCTCATCCACCCTTAAAGGCAAGAGCACCCCGGGAAAGGCAGGTGGCTCTCCTAAAACACAAGACACATACTTTCCTTCTGCAAAACAAGAGAGCCAGAGCTGAACCCAGCATGGAGCTCTCGCCACCTTGCATGCCTAGCAGACGCTATGCAGTTTTGAACTTGGAAAAGACGATTCGGAAAATCAAGACACTTCTTGCTCAAAGACAAGCAGGGCAGTAGAATGGATGGCAGCACGCAGCATGTGGAAGGGAAGGCAGAAGCCACGGATGGAAGAGGGAAATTCAGAAATGCAGCAGAGGGAATGGAACAGTCTGAACAGAGAGAAAGATTCCTGCTCTTCCTGCTGTGCCTCACAGTGGACGAAAGGGGTGAGAGAGGGAGAGAGCAAGGAGGGTGCGTTTGTGCTACAGACCAGGTTGTACCACTGGGCCTCCTCCTCGGGGGCTGGAAACTCTCTGGGTAGACATGGAGCCGGGACAGAGGGGACGAAGGTGCAGGAGAGAAGAAACACGAGGAGTGAATTTCTTGCTGCCCCTGGAGACAATGATTACGTTTGGTGACAACAGAGGTGACTATCCAGAGTGGCAAACCGCTGCCCGGCTCACAGACACCTCCCTTGGAAGAAGCAATTTCTGGGTCCTGTTGTAGAGTTTACTCAACTCTTCCCTGCAAGGGCCAATTCATCTCTCTGACTGGAGGCTCTTATGCAGCTTTCGTGCGAAGATCAAGGACTTCTCCTATCCCTCTCCATCTACCTGTGTCCATGTGCAGACTGTCCCCTGCCCCCTCAGTCCCACTAAGGACGCCAGCCTGCTAGGGGTTAAAGTTCACCCAGAGACACTGCTGTGCCTGACTCTGCAGAGGGGACAAAAACTAGAAGTTGTAGTTTCTTTCTGATCCCTGCCCCTTCCCGCTGTGCCTCCCCCTAACAGGTGGTCCTGGCCTTTCTCATTCCTCAGCAGATCGAGTAATTTCAAAAGCAGCAAGAGAGGCAAGGAAATCCTTTGCGATCCTTATTTTCATCAAGAAGTGAACAACAAAACAAAATTATCTCAGGTGACAAAAAACCCCAGTGAAAGCCAGAGCACAGAAGCCATAAGCAGACAGGATGGCTTCCTCCAGAGTCATTAGCAGCCTCTTGGGGAGGAGATTTGAAAACTGCTCACAACTTCTCAGGTGTGGGCAGGAAACCCAATAAGGAGGTGATGTGGGATATTTTTTGAAAGTCCAGTTTCTCACGCAGAAACCTAGGCTGGGGAATCTGAAGCACTGATAACTTGATTTCCATAAAGGACACCCTATTTCGAATGCTCAAAAAAGCAAGTCCATAAACCCTCCACAACAGCTGTCAGTGCCAACCTTCAGCCATAAGTGGACTTACGATCGCTGGGAATCAGCACAGTCTTTGAAAACAAGTGGCATAAAATCTTCAGACCATTTCCTGAGTGGCCAAGGCCCAACTTCCTAAGGGGGTCCAGGGCCTGCAAAGCCCCACATGGACAGAGGCTTTGGAAATTCAAGGCCAGGTTGAATGGAGGCCCTGAACACCCCACCCTTGTGCCTGGGCCTTGGCTACAAGTGGAAACTGAATACCGGTCCTGAAGGGAGCCCGGCCAGGCCCAGCCCTCCCCTCACTGCCTGCGTCTGGGGAGGTGGGCCAAACCCACAGCTCCTGTGTGCATCACACAGTCCTCAGGAAGTGTTGTAATTGGAATCTTTTTAGGGAGGATTCAGGGAGAGAGAGGATGTGCAGCTTGGAGAGAAAGTTAAAGGGGGTGAGCAGCATGTTTGGGGATGTGGACCCCAAAGAGATGGACTTTAGTGAAAATACTTAAGCCTTTTAGTGCACAAGTGATCCAAAGCTCCCTCCCATCCTCTTGCCTTCCGGGAATTGTTAAATGTTTAAAAGATCATAGTATTAAGAATTTGCAAAACGCTCATAAGAAAGTATATGTATACCAAGTCACCAGTTCCTGGGTAAATTTCGCCTAAAAGAACATCCTGTCTTTACTCTCTTGGCCATAAATCTCCATCCATCTAACTAAAATCTAAGGAAAGCGAATTGCTACTATCATCGTTTCCCTAAAGCAGTCCTCATTCACTTGGCTCTTTTTTCTCTTTTGGAATAAAAGTCTGCCATAAATGTTTAATTAAATGGAAGTCTTTCCGCTCTTAATGACTAGCTGCATGAAAGGCTCTTCATTTTTTAAAGGAGGGGTGTGTTTAAAACAGCCCCTATTAATTTCCTGATATTGATTCTCTGGCTGGGGAAGAGCATATAGTATTCAGCATAGAGCTGCTCTGCAGACGATGTTGAAGGCAGCAGTTTGGATTGAGAAAGGGCACCAAATGCAGTATGCGTCAAATAGACCATCGCTCAATGAAGTCACTTAGCTATTCAAAACATGTTCAGCCATCACTCAACCGTTTGCACCAAGAATGTTGGGAGGGGGCACGGAATTGGTGTTCTTGCCCAGACACAGCCGTTTTCCAAAGGGCGGCTTTTGCTCAGTTTGGGTGAGACCCTGGGGCCACCTCAGTTTCTCCCTCTCCTGTCCGTTCCCCTCTTTTCTCCCCCATCGCCTGGCCTCAACTCCCTGCATCACCATTCCATGTTGAGCTTAACAAACAAGGCTGCAGTCCCTGCTTCACGACGCTGCCTCCAACGGCCTCCAGTATTGGTTCATATCAGAAGCAAAGCACAGAAGCCTTCTCTCCACATGGAAACATGTATCTCTCTGTGCACGTCTTTCTATGGGTGGCTGTAGCTTGTACACACAGACATAGGTAACCATTCAAATACAGTCCCTCCTGTTAGAGTCTGTTGCTAAACGCAGGCTTTATGACCTGCAGGAGTTTTATTCGGTGCTAATAAGTGTGTCTCGGAACCACACGCCTTCATCCATGCCCTGATCTCCCAGCCTTTACACTGTGGGGACCCCTTTGCCCACAGCACACGCACCGGCACACGTGTCCCAATGACCCTGCAAGATCAAGGCAAACAGCTGAAGCCCCCACCCCACTGCGCCCCCGTGCCCCCCTCAACCTCTCCATGCCCTCGCCTCCCTCCCGGTCTCCCTGCACAACGTCTGATTCTCAAGCTGGCTGCAATGCTGACTCTACTTGCTTCTGGATAACAGACATGTCACTCTGCGTGGAAGTCAATTGGTTCCCAGTCTAACCTGCGAGTGAATTGCTGTTTATTAGAACTTGGGCTTGTTTCCTGTGAGAGACGTATGTATTTTTAGACTTTCTAAATGTTAAAACACACACATACACACACAGAGCCAGTCACCTCCAGCGATATGTGTAGACATTACGAAATGCTCTTGAACTCAGCTTGAGATCCTGGAATAATTAGGATTTACCAAATGAGGATTCTTAGAAACAACAGATTTTTTTTTAAAGGAGATGTGCAGATGATGATGTGTCTGGGACTTTTGGGGAGTAAGGGGAGGAGGAAGGGGGAAGGGAGAGCATTTTCGAATTCTTCATTACGAAAAGAGGAACAGTGTTTGAGAGACAGTTATTTTTCCCATCATAGATGGCCAGGCTACATCAAATGGCAAATCCTAATGATTCCGAAGCAGGCAGAGCACATTGGACTTTTAAAGACAATCTCTTGCTGTTTTCATCGTATCACAGATTATTCCAATGAAGAGGGGAAGGGGGTGGTGGAGGCTTGCGAGTTGAGTATGGTTTTTGCTTATCAGTTTCCTTTCCTCTCTGAAACTACCCCAAGCAACCTTGATCTGTGGTGGAAGGAGTGAAGTAAGAAAATGGTGGAATGTAATGGGGACTTATCCGGAGGAGGGTGGGGAGGGGGAGCGAGAAAGGGAGGGGTGGGGTGGAGAGGGGGAGGAGATGGGAAATCAAATACCTTCTAGGCAGCAGGTTCTCCATAATCCAGAATGGGTCATAACTTCCTCGTTCTTTTTGCTGGTTTCATTCTCACTGACACTTTTGGTCTTGCAAACCCCTCTCGAGTAGAGCCAATAGTCGGTTCCCACAGCTATGGTCATCAGACTGAAGGCAGCGAAAGCACCAACGGTGGTTAAAAGCATTTGAACACCTCGATCAAACAGCCCCATAATTCTTCATTATATAAACACCCAACCGACTTCTGGTTCTCGGGAGACTGTGTGTGAGGGTGCAATTACTAAAGCAAAAAAAATAATTCCACTACTAATATAATGGATATATATGTGAATAGAGAATATGGAGAGATATTAAAAAAGGGAGGTAAGAAAGCTCACGGAAAAGAGTGTAAATTATAAAGATCACACGGGAAGAGAGGCTTGCCTTTTGAGATCAGAAACTGTTCCAGTTGCAGTGATTTTTTTTTTTAAAAAAGGAAAAATAAAATAAAAAGACTCCCCCCACCCCCCCAAGTGAGATGCCTTAATCTCTTTTCCTAAAATTCTGGTCTCCAGTTTCCATATGTGATAGCTAATTTGGAGATGGCTTCCACAGTGAACCAGGGAACAGCCGCATTCTCAACACAATCTCTCATGGTCGGGACCTAGACAGTTAGAGATTGTAAAAGCCGCGATGCAACCTTCCGTCTTGGTTCTCGGCTCTGCGGCCTGCGCCATGAAAATCCTTTGCTTCGCCAGTTCTCTTCCTTGGGGGGTCTCGGGCGCTTTCGTTTCAGACCAGACTTCTCAGTATTCTGTAAGCCGTTGATCTCAGCTGAACAGGTGCGGGGGTCTCGCCTTCCATGGTTTTGCCCCGGCAGCGGCAGCGGCAGCGGCGGCAGCAGCAGGGCGGGCAGGCGCAGCGGCGGCGGCAGGACGAGCAGCGGCGGCGGTTATTGTTGTTGGTGGCGGGGATAGTGTTGGCGAAGTGGGGGAGGGAAGGGGTTTCTCCCGGAGAATCGAGGCGGGTTTCCCTCCCCCTATCTGCAAAGCTCCTGGAAACAAGGGAGCCGGCGTCTTGCTGCAGGATGGGCCGCCCGCCTGCCCCCCCACTCCCTGCCGGCCCGGCCCCCGGCGGAGGCGCTCCCACCTACTGCATTACCGGGTGGTGCTGAACTGGACAGCTCCCCGCGCCGCCCGCTCCGCGCGCGCCCGGGCTCGCAGGGCGGCCCGCCAGGAGGAGGGCGCGAGCCAGAGCCCTCCCTCCCGTCGCGGGCAGCGAGGCTCAGGCAGAGCGGGGGCTGCCTTTCCTCTTTTTACCCCTCTCCCAAATCCTAAAATGAGCGCTCTCCTGGGCTCCCGGAGCTTAGAGGAAGGCGTAGCTAGATAGGTCGCTCCTCTCTCTCTCTCTCTCTCTCTCTCTCTCTCTCTCTTCCCCTTCCCCTCCCCCCTTGGTGTTTCTTCCAGCTCATCCTCCTTCTCATCCCATCTCTACGTGCCCAGAGCTTCAAACACAACCCTCCCATCACAATCAGATGGGCACAAAACTTCAGCCAGGCTGGAAGCGGTGAGAATATAACCTGGATGGGTAATTACAAACACGGTCTCTATGTGTTTTTGAAATCATCGTTTTCACTTTGCTGTTCGGGAATTTGCTTGATTTTATTGGCAAGTTAGCTGCATCTCCTTTTGGTTGTTCCTCTCTCATCTCTTTTGTCTCTGGCAGCGGGTAGGGGTGTGTGTGTGTGTGCAGTGCACTGTGTGTGTCTCTCTGTAGTTTTCCGTGAAATTCCAAATCTTGCTCCTACAAGCAGACATTTTGGAAAAATTATTCATGGAAAAGGGTGCGGAAGGGTGACTGGTGGCTGGGGCTTGGGCAATGATTTTCGTCTCCAGGATAAACATGTTTGCAGGGGAAGTGGGTGAAATGTGAATCCTTCTTAAGTTTCCCATGTCATTCATAAACTGGATTGGAAGAGATAAAAATCTCCCTGCTGTGAACACGGAAACACATCATAACACAGCTCTTCCTCAGCAGAATCATTATCCTGAGTTAATTACAGCGTCACCTCTTGTTTCTATATGTGCAACTTTTCTTAATGTGAACCCGGAAAAAGAAGCCCATCAAATTCCTGCTGCTACTGATTACATTTTTCTCTGATCAGCTTCATAGTTAAGTGAGCGAGAGCACATGAGGCATGATGGGGGTTGCACTGTTTTTAATTGTTTTGTGGGAGGAGCTTAGAGAGCCTGTGAGCCTGATGGGTCAGTTGAGGGTTAGAGATGTTGCAACTTCAGAACTCAGTTCTTCCATACCTTCTTCTCCCTCCTTTTTTGTCTGAAGAGGGTTTGCTCAACAATTTCTCCGTGATCTGGTGATTTTCCAAGAGTATATAAAAGATGGCTGGATTAAAATGAGACTTTCTTTGGTGCTGTCTGACTTCTTTCACTTAGCTGAGAGTTGGTCTGCGGGCATGGCCAGCGCGTTCTTTTTGGTGTAGGAAAGCTACCTGTTTCTTCACCCTGCATAAAACTTCCTTCTCTCACTCTGTGTTTCCTTCTGCAAAGGGGTGATTGCTGCACTCCTGGCACCTGGAGAGAGGGTCCTGGTGTCTGGAGAGCAGAACCAAGACTTCAGCAACCTCTGCTAAGGTACCTTTAGGGTATAGAAAGAGCTACATTGGCAGACTGAGGGTTTCTCCAGTTTTGTTTGTCTTGTGAGAATGAGGATGGAATTGAGGATGAGGAAGAGGGAGGGACAGGTCTGGGGACCCCACTTAGCAGGGAACCTGCAGGTTCAGCCTGTGGTTCAGCCTGTGGTTCAGGTGGGTGGTTTTCTTGGCTCCTGTCCTTGAGGAAAAAGCAAGAGGCAAGCAGGAAGCCCTCTTGGATGGGCTAGGCCCTTGTGGGACAGTGGAGAGAGGCTTGGGTGTAGCCTCCATATGCCTGAGAAGCTTGCCCTCACTCACTCTTGTCACTTTGGTTGCCTTTGACCTTGTCCTACAAGTCCCTTCAGACTAGAGATAGAGGCCCCCTTCTCATCTCCCCACCCCTTTCACACCAACCCCTGAATCTTTTGCTCAAACAAAATCAGTAACTGAGGCTCAGAAGCTCCTGTTTGTCCACAGAAGCTGCTAACACCTTAGCCACGGATAGTGGCCACAACTTTAGCAGCATTTGGTTAATATAGCCAGATAATCATTGAGAAAAGGAAAAATTGGGGAGGACGGTAAAAGCTTTTAGGCTGCCAGCATGGAGCGAGAGAAAGGGACTCTGGAAACAGAACAGACCTGAGGGCATAGCTTGACTCTGCTACTTGGTAACCGCATGACTCCAAACAAATCTACTTCCTTGAGCCTCAGTTTCACAATACGTAAAATGGGCACATTAGCACCTGCCTCCTTTTTTCAGCTACTCTATGCTTTTCACTGTTGTTACCCTGCTCAGGCCTCTACCATTCCATTTGTAGCACTTTAGTGTGCATGTGTCATCTCTCTCATGGACTTTTTGAGCCCTTTGAAGTCATTGCTGGGTCTTACTCATATTCATCATTATATTTTTGGGGACCTAGTGCAGGGCTTGATACATAATAGATGCTTGATAAAAAATGGTTGAGTGATTATAGTGAAGATTAAATGGCTTAGGACAGGTGAAGTGACTGGCACATAGTAGGCACTCAATAAATGTGGGTTTCCTCTCATTTCTCCTCGCCCCATTTATGCCCACATTGGTCTCCAGCTTCTGCTTCCATCTCACTCATATACGACTCCCCTCCCCCCTTGTCAAACTAGCTCTACTCTTTAGGTCCCTTCTGCAGACCAGGCAAAGCCACCTGGGCAGAGCTGGCTTGGTGCAAGCCCCATTAGATGGTCTGGACCCACCAGGCCCATATACTTAGCAGCTGCTGAATGGATGCTCTTAGGGGAGCAGCTTTGTGTGCCCGTGGTTGGTTACGTGGTAAGGGCTTAGAGGAAATTAGCTGAAATGCCACAGGACTATTTTGAGCTCCTTCTTTGATGGAGTGGAAATAACATGGGATATGGGAGCAGCAGACCTGGCCTTGAAGCACAAGGCTGACCTTTCCTCATTGCTTGACCTTGCGCGGTCACTTAACTTCTCTGGAAATCTCTCTTTATCTGTCAAGGAGGACCACGGGTAGGAGGCTTCCCCGTGTGGTTGTCAGTGTTATATGTCAGGAGCAATGACAACAGCTAATGTGCCAGGCACTGATCTAAGCTGAATCCCATCATTATTCCCATTTTACAGATGAGGAAACTGAGCCACATAATGGTTTTTAAGTATCTGGCCTAAGGTTGCCCAGTTAGTGAGTGGCAGAGCTGGGAGTCCAGTCCAGCTGTCCAGCTTAATAGCCCACATCCTTCCCACTGTGCCTTGACCCAAGATATGAGCTTTCTGAGTAAGGGTACTCCATCAAGGCTGTTTACTTCTTATCCACAGATTTGGTAAGCGTTTAGGGAGTAAATTCTAGGTGCCAGGCATTTTCACACAGATTCTCACACCTTTCCAAGAACCTTGCAAATGTATATAACTAGGTTATCCTCTAGGCGAGTAAACAGAGGCTCAGAGAGGTCATATATCAAGTCTCAAGGTCATATATTAAGTTAAGTGGAATGGCAGAGATTTGAACGTTTTGTACTGCTTCAAGTTCTCCTAGCTCCAAGTCCCATAGCTTATTCATTTGTTCATTATTTTATTTAACAAATTGAGCACCTACTATGTGTCAGGTACCATGTGAAATCCTGGGGATGAGGAGAAGGGCAGGCGAGGTCCCTTCCTCCATGGACCTGAAGACAAGCAGGAGGGGGAGTAGGGAGCACCCCTCACAATGAAGTGAGGGGCATGCTTGGTGAGAGAGGCTGTGAGGCCACGGAGCAGGGAGACTGAACCCAACAGAGGGGACGAGGGACATCTCCCTGGAGGACAGGACATTTAAGCTGAGATGTAGGAATGAGAAAGTGTCAGCTAGGCCAGGGTGGGGTGAGTGGGTGAAGGGGCGCCGAGAAGAGGAAGAGCATTCGGGTGAGGGAACAGCATGTGTGAAGGTTCAGAAGTGTGCACACATGGGAAAGACGATTATCCAGTTTAGGGGGAAAAATGCTAAGTACGGCTCATCTAAAGACAATGATGGGAAGTGTTTTAGGCTAAGAGCTGGAGGCCACGAAAAGGAGGTGGAAGCCTAAGAAGCCACCTGGAGGAGACTGGTGGAATACGGAATATGAGAGCCAAACCTGGAGGCAGGGAGACAGTCAGGCAGCTATTGCTGGGCTCCAAGCAAGAGACAGTGGTGGCTGGGACCAGCGTGTGGCAATGGGATGGGAAGAAGTGGAGGTATTTGGGAGTAGTGGGGAGGAAATAACTGAATATTGGTGTCCATCGCTGAGATGGGCCACTCTGAGGAAGAAGCAGGCTGGAGTGTGTCAGAGGTGCAGGGAGTGGGGAGACGGAGAATTCTGCTTTGGTCATGCACCGAGTTTTGCTATATTCTACTGCCTTCGCTCCCTGTTCCCATTCTGACTCTTCTCAGTATGTTAATTAATAAGCTAGGGTTGTAAATAATTCACCCGATGATATTCCAGCCCCACTAGAATGTAGGCCTCATGAAGGCAGGGGTTTTGGTCTGCTTTGTTCACATTGTATAATATTTCCAGCACTTAGAACAGTGCCTGGCACATAGCACGTGCTCTATAAGAAGGAATTTCTTTCTTGATATGAAAATCCAAATGCTTGTCTGCTGTGTGCCAGGCACTGTGCCAAGGTGCTAGAGGTACAGATGAAATTAAAATACCCAAATCAGGGAGGTCGGCAAGCGGACAGCCAATCCAGAGCAGTGAGACCCAGCCCAGGGAAGATCTGGGGTGCCTGGCGTTCCCCACTGTGTGCTCCCACGGTCTCCGCCCTCTTTTGCTGGTGGCACTTCTCCCCATGTTTTGGAATTGCTGTTTAATGTCTGGCACATAGTATGACCACAATACATATTCGACAAATGAATAAATAAATGAATGCATGAAATTAAGACATGTACTGTAAAAGTCCAGGAGGCATTTATTTCTGCCTTGGAGGGTTTCAGAATGCTTTGCTTTGGTGACAAGCTCAGCCCCAAAGGCCAGGAGAAAGGGTCGCACCTGGCCAAGGACGAGAGGAGGGCATTGCAAGCAGAGGAACAGCACGTGCAGATGTCAAGGGGTCTCCGTCAACATGAGGAAACTCAGGGAGGTGGGTGACCGATGGGGACAGACAGGAAGGCTGGGGTGAGTCCAGGGAGACTGCTGTGCCCGGGATGATGGGCCAGCCATTGGCATCCCTGTCCTGGTGGCCCTTGCCCAGGCAGAAGCAATGAAGTGGGAAGAGAACAGGCCATGGAGTCAGATGGATCTGGATTT